GATAGCAAAAATGACTTCCAAAAACCAGCAAAGTATTAAGAAACAGTAAAATGTTAGAAACAAAGAAAAGAGTACTGAACTCTTGTGTAATATCAGTCCTCCTATATGGTGGTGAAAGCTGGATAATTTCCTCATGGATGAAGAAGAGGCTTGAAGCAACAGAAATGTGGTTCTACAGAAGGATGCTGAGAATACCATGGACCAAACATATGAGCAAAAATGAAGTTCTAGAGACAATGACAACAAAAAGGACACTTATGTTTGACATAAGAAAGAGAGAGTTGAAATTTCTGGGGTAAATAATGAGTAAAGAGGGCTTAGATAATTTGATACTCAGAATATATATTGAGAGTAAGAAAGATGAAAGTAATACATATCCTACCTGGTGAGTTTGTGTGAATTGATAATGGAGCAGAGTTTGGGAGAGATGGCAAAAATACAAAATTTAATAAAAGCTACAATGGACAGGAAATTGTGGAGAGTCATGATCACCAATATCTTGAAGGGACACAGCACAGCATAGAAGAATGTTGATTTTGTTCTTGCCAAGTAAACTTCTTTTTCTGATGATTCCAGTGCATTGGTGAAAAGAAATTTTTCATCTGTATTTCTGCCTTTCATGTCTCTTTATCTTTTCAATTCATTAACTTCACTTTTATTTTTTTTATTTTTAAATTTTACTTTTTCACTTGACATTTACATTCTAAATTCTTCAATTCTTTCAAACATGGCTGAATTATTTTAAAATATCAAATTCAAGGAAAATAGATCCATAACAATTCTAAAAATAAGCGATGGGACATGAACAAACAGTGCTTGGATCAAAATGACTGCTGTTTAATGTTTATTAAACAGACAATGAAAAGGACATTGATTGCATCTTTATTACAAACCAGAAGAAACTGACAACAAAATTTTAAAATTGTGAGATTAGAAGTGTTAATAATTTTGCTATTAAAAAACAGAATACAAAATCATAATAGGAGTAGATATACATGAACAATGCATATTCCCTGTAAAATGATTGTTATTCAAAAATTGTTACATACAAGAATTACTTTCAAACTGATTAGCTAGTTGTACAAAATATTCATCTCTGAAATTTCTTTATTTTGGAATATGATGAAAGTAATTATTTTTAAATGAAAGTAAAGGTGAACTTTTCTGATATGATAAAAACACACTCCCAGGCTATAGCATTCTTTATTTTAATCAAAATTGTTGATTTTTAAAAGTTAATATGGATTAATCAAAGACATGTTATCTTTTTACTTCCATTACCCACTTTACTTCATTCAGATGGTGTTGTTGCAGGTGATATAATGGCACACAAACACAATATTGCCAAGTTTTATTTTTGTTAAAGTAAAATATATAAACAAAAATAATGTTAGTGTGAAGCTTGTCGGCTTATATAGAGGGTGATAAATAATGTTGTCCTGAGAAGGACAGTTTTGTGACTGCTAGAGAGCATTGTTTTGAAATGGACCATTTAATGCATATTGTTGGCAAGCTGGAGGCCTACTGGAGATGATGATGGCTGGCTGGAGCTGCTGCTGATGGCTAGATCATCGGCTACTGCTGGCACAGATACTACACTTTGATCCCAATCATCTGGGCTGATGAACACTGTTGTCAATGTTTCCCCACCAAGATGAGACCTGACACAAAGTTAGTTATTAATGTGGGCAACTCAAGCACTTGGGTCATTAGGTTAAAATTGGTCAAAATTTTACTGCAGGATTGGGCACAAAGCTTGTTGCAGCTGGTCATGGCCACAGAACAGATACTACAATATGATCATAGCATCTAGGCCACTGGACAGATCTGTATCTTTATTGTATAAAAAATACAATTGTGGCACAAAGCTGAAAAGGGGGAAAGGGATTGTGGCTGGTCTTCACTATCTTATACCTAGCTAATCCAATTCACGACCCATTCACTCATTACAATTTACGCATTCACCACAAAAACTCATCCGTCACCAATCAATCCTCCATACACCATAATACTGCATCCTCTGAGATTTAAAAATTTGGTGATAATAAATATTACATAGATAAAAATTTAGCATATGACAATGAGAGGGGGAGGGGGATGAACCCCAAAACAAATTTGGATTGCTTTTGAGACCTCTTTATATCCTGAATTAGTCTTACAACAACACTCATTAAGGTTTTTCTTCCAGTTGTTTTTAAAAAATGTGGGAGTGATGACAGGATATGACAGTGTTACCATTGTGCTATGATTGATTTGAAAACATTCAGTAATGTTGAGGTGGAAGATATATAATTGGGTGAAGTTTTGTTAAAGTAGAAATGTTTTCACTGTTGATATAAGAAAAATATCAGTGCTGCTTTGTACTTAAAAAAGTTTGGCTTTATATAAAGTTGAGATGTGTAATAGTAGTATTTGCAAGCTGCTTTCAATCACTAGTGACGAATTCCCTCTCTCTCTCTCTCTCTCTCTCTCTCTCATGACAACTCAGATTTATATATTGGTATCTTTTGTCCATATGCAAATGATCACACTCTTACATTTACATATCATTACAGTAATGGCAAATCATTGAAAACTTTGATGATGAAAATCTTAAAACATAGTGTATCTGGAAAGTAAGTATTAGACAAAGTTCAATCAGGAAAAGAAAATCCTTCCTGCCACTCTTGTTCGGGTTACAATATCAGAAACTGGGAAGAAAGGCTGTCAGATTTGTGTGTCTGCTGCCAAAATTGATATTTGGTTCTTCTTTCTTGATAGCGGTAAAGAATGCATCCATAGTTTGACCAGTTTGCTACAACTGTTCTTCCTTCATCAGTGAAAACATGTTTTGAGGATGGAAATTATTCTGTCTCACTAATATAAAATTAGATCATCTATGCAACAAAGGCAGCAAAATTATATTCATTCACATGTCAATGTCTGTCTATTCTAGGTTTTAACTTGAGCTGATATTGACTTATGGCTCTTTTGTACTTTTGCTTATTTCCTTTAGATAAATTTATAGTGAATGATCTTTTTAAAGATAATTTCAACAGATTTTACTATGTATGTGAGTAATGGTTTTAGAGAGCAAATATTTTCATAAATTTACCTTCATAAAAAAATGTAAGTGTTGAATATTTTGAATGTACTACTTCTTTGATATGACTATTGTTCAGCTAAGAATAGTTTTGTCTCAGAATATTTCCATTATTTCTGTCTCAGAACTAGCATTACAAATGTGCCCAAGGGTTAGAGGAAGTTTTATGTAGAAAAGAAATTAAATCAAGGTTGTCTGTGGTGTGAATAATCTTTCTTATTTGAAGTTTATTTGAAGAGATTTGTGCAGAAGCCTAGACTTTATTATTAAACATTCGTACCAATTGTGTACATTGTCTTCTCTACTTGCTTCTTTCTTTCTGTTGCTTAATAGACAAGATCTGTTTGGCCGTTGGCTTGAAATAATTTCTTCAAAGAATCTTTTAAGTGATTTGAAGATTAAGATCACTCACTTATTTCCTGTCATAAATTTATTTGCAAGTCCTGTGGAAATTTCAGGATAAATCTTTACAATTTACATCTGATTAAATAAGTAAAAAATAGGAAAACCTTTAGCAATTTAACATGTTTCACTATTTATTTAGCTTCATGAGAAATATTTTGGAAGTGGAACAATGTAAAGTTATTGCGATTTTTAAATTCTATGTTTTGTTTTCATTGGTTGCATAGACATTACATGTTTATTTTGTGTTGATAGTATATCTGTATCAATTTTGTTGTGTGGGTATCTATGTATACCTTATGGTGTGTGTCTGTGTGTTCAGTTCTGGAATGTTAATGTAATTAAGAGTGTATTAAAAGTTGTGTTAATTAGTGTATTTTAATTGTATGGTAGATTTGACAAATGATAAAAATGAAAATGCTATCCTAGGTTACAGCATCTGCAAATGTTTGGATCTTACATTCAGTAAGTGTAGGTTTTACTAATATTGGTGATATGATGAAGTACATGGGTATTTATTGTATGTTGATTATTTATTAATATTCCTTTGAGGTATTTTCACCATAATGGCTTGTGTTCATTTTTTTACTAACCATTTTTTAAATCAAAATTATGGTCTATTTTATTTCTATGTGATACTAAAGAATTTAATTAGTTATCCCAGTGGAGGTACTCTTTGATTTTTCATTAATGCTGGTATTAAAATTTTCTAGATGTCTCCTCTATATATTTCTATATATATTTTTATTATTGCATTGTAGGCAGTCTATTTGATGTATCCAAGCTTCTGATATATTATTGATACTATATTTTTGACCAATCAAATCTTTGATTGTCTTGGAGTTAGTGGTTATAAATTTAGAGTTTGGGATAGTTAAATAATTTTCAATTTCAGTGGATAAAATATTTGTTGATAGAAATATAAACTTCTTATTTTTAATATTGATTGTATGTACTTTTTTAGTCTTATGGATTTTGTATGCTTTTCTTGTGTTGAGAATCCAATAATGGGGGCAGTGAAGGGGTTTAAAAAGTTTTTACAATCTAATTTTCTTTTTCATCTAGGGATTTTGCACCATATATTATTTCTAATTTAGAAATATAACACAAAATAATTCATGTTCTTAAATCAAGAAGAAAAATTAAAAATGAATTATATTTCAAATTTAAAAATTTTTTTAACATCACAAATTAAAGTAAAAATTGGAAAGTCTTCCTATTCTCTTCTGCCATTTTTCTCTGGTTGATTCAGTTCAACTAACATTTGGTAAAGTCCTGGCCATGTGAGAGGAGGGCAGTTATAAAGTCATCTATAGTTAGATACTGATTATAACAAGATTGGTCCAAGCTTATTAAAAGGTTAACCTTAAGTCTTATTTATTATCATTTAATGTCATTGAGTTTTTCTGTTTCAATAAAATCATGAGTAGTGTAATAGTAGAATCAATATATTTTAGGTGGGTGCTAGCAGAAAAAAAGTATAAACAAACTTTTTATATATTAAAAAGTTCATGGTTTCTAATTTGGAAAATTTATTCTTTAAAAAATGATAAATGTTTAAAATGTATGCTTTTTGTTTTAACCTTAAAAAGTCAGACATGATCACTAAATCCAGCTTTAAATCCCTACATACAAGCCACCACCACTGGGTGGTATGCCACTAGTGTCTGCCGCTGGTGGCCTGCTGTTGGACTGCCGATGTGTTCATCTCAGCAATGTTATCACTGGCAGACTGCTAGGGGCCCACCAGTAGGCTACCGGTGGCTGCCACCAGAGGACTGCTGGCAGGCCACCAGCAGCATACATGTAGGGTTCTTTATTATTACTGTAATTCTAATATTATCAATTTCTTGTCAGATTGTTTAGAGGGAATGCCTTAAGAAAACAGGATAATGTACTGAATAATTCATTGTAAAATTCTAAATTATTTAAAAAAAGGAAATTCCATAATTTATTAATGTTGTATTTTGATTTTAATTTGAAATTTCTTAGTGATACACCATAAAGTATATTAAAATGAAGGCTTTCTTGTTTTCAGTAGTTTCTTACTCTTATTTTTCAAGCCCTAAAAAGTGCATTATTTAAAATATGAAACTGATGGATCCTTTAATGACTATTCAGTAAAATTCTCATATGTTTCTTTTATGCTTAAGAAATTTAAGAAACTGTTGCAACACTGCTAAAAATAGAGTAAAAAAGCAAATTAATTCCCTTTGTTTTTTTCCATAAATAGAAAATATTTTTTTTAAATACTGCTGTTTAAAAGTGTAAAGTTATCAAACACTAAATAAGACAGCTTGCTGAATCTCTCTAGTTCTGTTTCAATATGGTACATTAGGTTTGTGTAAAGATCTTTTAAGAGTGTCAAGCTCATTGTGTTTGCAAAAAGAAAGAAATTTTTCAATTTGTTTCAAATTAATATTTTCATTGTTATTCATAATTCAGAATTTTATTCTTAGCTTGACAAACTCTTTTCTGACATTTGGAAGTTTTCAAGTACAGGGTGGAGGATCTTTTCTGTGTCAAAGACCCAAAAAGTAGGTACAATACAAGTTTCAAAGTCGGCTGAATGACTGGAGTCAACAGCCAGCAGTCAGTGAAAGTTCCACGTCCCATTAGGCACATGTGTCCCTTACCAGAATCATACACATCCAGAAATGAGAGTAGCTCTGAGGAAAGTGCAAGGTTGATCCAGGTAGGAACAATCTTGCCAGAATCCAATGAAGATTCACTTGCAGATAGATCACCTGCAGATGAATCAGCTTTAACAAGTAGAGTCTCCCTGTCACCAGCACCTCACAGACTCCTAGACAACAATGCTGGTGCTATCCCCTTCAGAAGAAGTATACATCAGAAGCAGCCCTGCACCCAGCTGCATTTTTTGTGATCATGAGCTCAGGGGGTTTGTGGTGAAATAGGATCAATGAATTGAAACTTACATGTGACTAAGAGGCCACAATGTCTAGCCTGCTCAGTTGAAGCTGTCATTTGTAATTTAGGTAAAGCCCATGTGTGTTTCTAGTGCTTTTAAAACTATTGCTAATTAGCATATGTGGTCAAAAACCTGAATAAAAAGTGAGCCACACAGATGAGCAGGAAGAGGATCTATGGATCTTGACTTGTGCTGAACTGTGACTATCAACCACAAATATGAGAAAGAACAATAAAAGTTAGTGAACTTGAAAAGTCTAATTTCCTGAAAAAATGTTCAAATTTCAAGTGACAGTAATGCTAACTGGTCAATGAATGCTAAATATCTCCTGTATGGAGACAACTAATTTCACCATTACTATTTGATATTTCTAAGAGAGTTAAGAACCGTATCTACCCTATTTTAGTACCAGAATTTGAGTTTTGAATAACAATTCTACTTTGTAACCTATTATCCTTGAAGTACTTGGAAAATACAGAGTAAGCAGTAAGATTCACAGTTTAAACTGTGCATTTAAATGATTTACTTACTTTTAACTCTTTATATACAATTTCAGTTTTATCTATTCTTTTAATTTAAAAAAAAATTATTTTTCACTCTACCATTTAAAAACTCTTCAGTTCTTTCTCATTTGTCTCTTTAGCATTATGCTTTGCTCCCATTTTCTTATCTGCAAGGTTTCTTGTTTCACTTTTTCACTTAATCCTTTTCACTATTCTCAATCACTTTGACTGTTTCTGAATACTTTTGGATCTTTTCTTATAAGCAGAGATACTTGAGTATATTCTACCAATGTTGGAGTCCAAGATTCAGCTAGTAATTCTATAGATTGGTAGATTGCCACTCTCTTCATATTCCCATCATTTGAAAAATGTTTAGGAAATATTTATACACACACAAATTTTATTTCCATTTTGAAAAAGAAAACAACTAGAGTCAGTAAATTTTATAATATTACAAGAATCTGTTACACATATACAAGCATTGTCATTTATTTTTATGATTCTTTAATTTATGATAATTTTGGGGATTAGATTTTGATACTTTTGATCTTTTGTTGTTGTTTTGCACAAGATAAAAAAAT